TGTGAAGTGTCGAATGCATTCGTTCTACTGGCGCACATGACATTGCTTCCCCTTGTGCAGACGTCACTACTCAGCAGTGTCACAGGCCAAAGCTGTGCTACTCTCACCTAAAAGACTCTGCCTCTGCTTGCTGAGGAGAGGAGGCCTTCACTTTTGGAAAAGGAGGATCCCAAAGTGGAAGTCCCTAGGTGGTCAAATTTTACAACACAGAGACAATTCTCAGGTGACAACCAGGGAGCCAAGACACCCCGCAATCTGGGGAAAAGGGAAAAAGAAGGAAGGAAGAGAAGAGAAGAGAAGAAAAATAGAAGGAGCATATGCACCTGGGCTAGGAATAGACATTACACATAAACCGGTTTAAGTGATCAGAACCTGGTTTAAACCTATAACAGAACAGATGTTCAGTGCCAATAAACCAGTTTGAAAATGGCTGAAATTGGTTTGAGATAAACCTGGCTGAATGTAGTATCAGACTTAACTGATTTGGTTCAAACCAGTTTATGCAATTTCTGTCCCAGACCCTTTGCTGGTTTAAACTAAACCAGACACCCCCAGCATCCCAGCATGCTCTCTGGGCTGGGCAGGGCTCTCTGTACCACAGCAGAGCTGGCCCCTCCCATCCACTCCCTGGCTGCAGCTCCAGCAAAGACTTACAGGCACAGCAGGGTCTGCTGGCTTCTCTGTGCCCCTCACCCCTCACCACTTGCTGCTTAAGCAGAGATCCCTCCCTCCTCTCTCCCACAGCACAGACGGTAGCCAGCATGTGGTTTGCTAGCTAATGCTGTGTAAGGCAGATTGGACAGTGTCCATTTAGGGCTTTCTGAAGGTAATCAACAGCTTAGATGGTAATGTTCCTGCATTTCCTCCTTTGGAAAAGGCAGATAAGGTTCTTTGGGTAAACCTGATATCTTTGATTAGACCAGGGGTCGGCAACCCCTGGCCCACATGCCGAGTGTGACATACAAGGCCATTTTGCTTGGCACACAGCAGCCAGCCCCGGCTCAAGGTAGCTGCTGCCAGCACCAGAGCCCAGGCTGCTCCCAGCAGGGCTTGCAGCATCCCAGGCTCCAGCAGCTACCCAGAGCCAGGGCAGCCGCTGGGAGCGCACAACAGAGCCTGGGCTGTGGGGCAGGGGCTTTGGGTGGGGGGCAAGGGGCAGTAGGGCTGGGGAGCAGGGGCTTTGGGTGGGGGGGCAAGGGGCACAAGCAGGGCATCCTACCACATACCCCTTGCCCTCATTTTGTTTTTCTGCCATGCCGGCATTCCAGCACTTTCCAAGGTAGATATTGTGGTGTTTTTCGGCACTCCGGCCAAAAAACGTTGCCTACCCCTGGATTACACCAACTAAATAATTGGAAAAATGTTTCTTAGCAAGCTTTTGAGTTTAAAAACCCTTTGTCAGGCTGAGGAAGCATCTGCAGTTGGTGTGTGCTGTTTCTGGATGGAATGAATAATAAAGAAGCCGGAGGCTGGTATTTTCCTTTGGAAAAAGTTGTTTAAGCGTGTAATGAATGAGGCTTTGTTTTCTGATGAGCTGTTAAATCCTGATAACAGAGCTGATAAATGCTCTGTTATCAAGGGGGGAGACCCCTCCCTAATCACAGTGTCCTGGGGGGCCTGGCTACACCCCACCTCAGCTCAGCCCTGTGCAAGGGAAGAGAGGGCTGTTGTAGCACCCCCTAGCTTCTAGCCTGAGCCACTGCAGACATGTGCCTGCATTTCTGGGATGTCTGTCTGGTTACAAAACTGATTTAGCCTAGCCAAATTAGACTAACCTGCAAAGACTGAATCAATTCAGGCTCAGGCTTTTTGAATGTCTATCCCTAGACAGGAGGAAGTTGGTGTTATCCCATATGATAGGATGTTTTGTTTTGTTCAGTGTTTTAGATCTTTGATTGCACTGTGGCTTGGCTCTTTCCAGTAGAGGGAAAATAGCTGCACAAGTATTCCCAGCCCTTGGCCAGGAGCCTTCTTGCCCTGACCCTTTTAGTGCTGGTTGTTATTTCTGATCATATGACCTGTGCTACATGCCTTGAGGGGTTCAGTCCCACCCACCAGTGCTGTGCATTGCCTTCTGTGTACAGTGTGTGCCTCTCTTGGGAATCACATCCAGATACCTAGAATTGTTTTCCTTTTCAGCAGATTGTTCTGTTCCTTTGCATTCCAGGAAATCAAAGCCCATCAGGAAGCAAAAGCCTAGTGCAGTGCTGCCACCCCGTGGGAAAAATGAAGCATCCCAAAGAGATTCTTAATCCAGTTGTAAACAAAGGAAAAAGAAAAAGATTGCAGTGAGGTTGGGGATTAGCCAGTTTTAAGATACAGTAAATATGAGACCATCCATTTAGAAAGTTATACTATAAGTGCAGTGAAAGGGGTAGATAGCAGTTGGGGACGTGGCTCCCTTCCCTTACTTCCCAGCCAGGGCAGAAGGAGAACACTGCCTTTGTCCCTGCCATCTCCCTGCATCCTTCCTGCCCCTGAAGAATACCTCACACAAATGAGCATCATTGAGTATCCCCTCTAGTCACCCTGCCTCCACAGCCTGCACAAGGGAGAAGAGAAGAGCTTGCTCTGAGCCAAGTTACTGTGGTTCCTACTCTGTCTTCTTGGGTGATGCTGAGAATAAATAGTAGTGCAAAGATTAGGGTTTATGAGGGAAGACAAGGAAGTCTGTGAACTGCAAAAAACAGAAGACTCGGTGAAGAGGATGAAGGGGGAGTGGGGAGGAGGAGTCCTTGCCAGGAGAGAAAGGATAAGAAACTAACATAGAGGGGGGAGGGGGAATAATTTTGCATTCAAAGACAGCAACAATTTTTTTTTCCTCCGAGTTTTTACTTCCTCCCACTACAGTACTCCAGACCCAATACATATGGGTCCTTGGGACCTACTATTCTAGAGGTGATCCAGTAAATTTGAATTTAAATAGGAGAATAGGGATAATTCCCCAAACAGAATTGAATACAGCCAGCCAGCCTGCCTGACCAGTAATCTCCAGAGCAAGTACAATAGCCCAAGAAAAACAAACAGCTTCACTGAATACCAGCAACAGTTGTCCTGAATCTTGACAAATGCAGACTCAGTTGGAGAAAGGCATGGAGCTAATTATAGAAGCGATCACCCTCACTGGAAAATGCACTACCAGCAGTGTCCTCTCATGAAAGCTTGGCAGGTGCCAGCTTGAGCCCTTCTGCTGGGCACAGTTGTGCCAGTGTCACATAACATATAGAAAAGCAGCCATGTTAGGGAGGCAGCATAACTATTCCAAGCTCCCCTCAGTCCCCTCCACCCATCTGCTATTATACTGCCTCCATTTCTAGGTTTGTCAGGCTTTTGAGGGAAGTGGGAGGTTGTCCCATGGAGTGTTAGGAACCTGCATGGTTGGTTACATGTTAATATATGAAGCTTTCTTTTAGATAGAAAAGCAAACAGATCCAGAATACAACCAAAGGCAAAAGAAGGTTTTTTAGTCATTTTTATTGAAAAACAGTTCAAATAAACTTAAAGTGGAATGAATTAGAGTTTGTCCTTCTGTAAGGGTAAGAGAATTAGGCTCTATTCCCTGGTCTTCAAAGTCCCTGCTGGGGATGTCAGAAGAAACGCCAGCTGTGATGAGTTTTTAGGTGATGTAAAATGAAAGCACATTAACTAAAAAAGCTGTCTTTTAACTGCAGCTACTGTGTCACCCACTGAGACGTTTAACTTACAAGGAAATTGCGTGAGTTTCACCAGTGATGCAAAGCTTCCATTCCAAAACCAACTTCTCCTTTTCGGTAGGGTGTGCTGCAAGGCCAGCAAGTTTGATACTAACAGTAATAAATAGTTTACAAACTTAGGGAAGGGCTGGGCCAGAATTTGTCCTGACTGTCCTACCTGCAGTGTAAGAGACGATTAGGAAATGTGTCCCACCTACAAATGATATTTCTATGGGTGACGACAGGTACTGTATGCAGGAGAGAACTCCAGATTGTCCCATCTCTTAGGGCATGGTGGGGATAAGGATAATTTAAGGATATACTGTACAGGGGAAAATAGGAAGTTGAGCACATATACAGCTATTTCCTGAAAGGACCGTGGTAGCAGTGGTTCCATCCATCACCACCTGCATGTCAAACAGTCTCTCAATTGCTGTCTACTTGTCATTGTCTCCATGTGAAATATGAGGTATTTGGATTTTACCTGCGGTTCTCCAGTCTCTTTCCTCAGCCTCTCCTGAAGTCACACAGACACTGCCCCAGGCACTATCCTGCGGATGTGTGTGTAGGACTTCCTGAGGGTGACACTGCCATGATGGGATACACCACGGGGCAGGACACACTCCTCTGTTAACTTCTGTGTCTCGGGGTCCCAGCACAGCACTGTGGCAATGACTTCATTTTTCTCATCTCGGCCCCCCGTGATGAACAACTTGTTGTTGCAAGGGGAAATCCCACAACTTGCTCTCTCATGGGTGAACTGAGTCACTAGGCACCATGTGTCTTCAAGTGGGCTGTATGAGTATAGCGCTTTCATTGCCCCACCTGGAAAGGAAACATATGTTTGATCCATCCATTCTCCACAAACACTTCTGAGAACATTTTACCCTCAAGATAAAGGCAGGGTGGGACAATCAGGGCATCTATACACATTCTCCAGGGTAGAAATGGGGGGGGCGCTTTAATTACAGCAGCTCTCGGAGCCACTCTAATTAAAGCATCCACAGCGTCGCATGTATTCAGTGTCCTACACTTCAAAATGGCAGCAGGGGCACTTGAAGTAAAGCTCATTCAATGAGCTTTAGTTAAAGCGTCCCTACTGCCATTTTGAAGTGTGGGGATGCAGAATAAATGTGACGCAGAGGCTGCTGAAGTGCGTTAATTAACATGCTGGAGTGTGTTAATTAGCATACTCCAGCAGACTCAATTAGTCTGCCACCACCGACTTCATGCCTGGCTGCTGCCATCCCCCAGCCTGCCACTGCTGGCTTCATGCCCAGCCGCTGCCCACCCCACACCACCGCCACTGGTTCTTTGGGGCAGGGGGCCCCAAAACTATTTCTTGCAGGGGCCCCCCAAAAATTGGGGACCAGCCCTGGGTAGAGGCTTGTTTTAAAGACTTCAAGTGATGAAGAATCCATCCCATCATTAGGTAACCTGTCCTGACAGCTTGTTTCCCTTGTTATTAAAACTATTTGCCTTATTTCTAAAAGCGATTGGTATCTATTTTCAGCTTCAATTAGTAGATCTCATTTCTCTGCTTGGTTAAGGAGCTATTCACTATGAAAATCTCTTCTCTTGTGTGCACATTTGTTAGACCACATGTACATCTTAATTATCTCTAGGCTAAATTAAATAGATAGAGCTGCTTTGGTTTCTGGTTGGAAGGCAGGCTTTCCAGACCACTAAGTATTCCTGAAACTTTCTTGTGAACCCTTTCCCATTTTTCAGCATCCTTTTTTAAACACGAGTGAACCCCCAAGCATCCAAGGCAGGCCCAGTAAAATATTATGTACTGAAAGTGTGGCTCTATCATTTAAGTGCCACTGGCATTCTTGCTCTGCACTTTGCATATATCATATATTTTCTCCATAACTTCTATGTACTGCAGAGCTAAACATACCTTAAAGTCTTGGTTTCATTGCACTCTCCTGAATGGTTTTTGTGGGGAAATGTTATTTATAATAAAAAGTTGGTTGTGTCAAAATCAACCCCATCCTGAGTGTATCTCAAAGGCCTCAGTGTGACCCTGATTTCTCTCATACATGAACTCTTGACTTTTTTCTTTTCATTAATTTAATTGGTGCTGTGGGAAGTTAGCTAGCAGAAAGGCTCTTTTGGCAGTGGAAATCTTTTCAAATGCTATTTTTCTTATTTGTCCTCCTTTTTTCACAAAGCTGTATGGGTTTTCTGACCTGTCAGCTTTTCCCTATATACTCTGTGGCACCCTGAGGGCTGTTTGGTGGTTGTTAGTGCTACTGAGCAGATTGCAGCCATTAGTTCATGGGTAAGATCCTGAACTACTTGTAGGTGTTCTGGTCTTGTTGCTGCCGAATGATTGTGACTCTCTTTTCCGGAGAAGCCAGCTGAACTCAAATGGATGTCAAGTCCTCACAAACCACTAGGCAGTATCCACATCATCCCACTCTCTCTTTACCTTCCTAATAAAAGAATAAAATTCATCCCAGTGTAGAGGAGCAACACAGGGTTTTACATGCACCCACTTGCATTTCACCTAAAGCTACAAAACAGGCCTTCTGTGATGCTATGAGCCTTCTGCTAGCTTGTGCAGCCCAGGGTGAATTTTACTCCAAGAATAAGGTCTCCACCCCATATACCTAGACTGGTAGGTAGAAAAGGGAACCCAGCCAAGCAACATATCCCACTTCCTGCTTCTCCCAGCACCAGCTGAGATCCACGGATGGCTTCCCTTATCCCTTCACCAACTGTGTGTGGAAGGGAGCTAAGGCTTGTGATGGGAGCTAAGGCTTCATGTATCTTGCTTCTGGTCCCTTTGATGTCCCTGGCAAAACTCACAGCCCTGTAACCAACTGCCTTGTATCTATAGTTAACAGTGATAAAAGAAGAGCATAGAAAAAGTGATGGCAATTGAATGTGCTGAGCTCCCGCTCCTCCACCTAATGAACACTGGCTAGAAGCACAGAATGATGACAGTCTGATTATGCCCTTCTGATGAATCTGGAGAAAACAGAGCATTGCATTTACCTACCCACGACATAGATGTGGTCACGGAAACTTGCAGCATTAATGCATTTTGCTTCAACTGGCATGGATGCTTTCAGGCTCCACGTGTTTGTAGTAGGGTCATAGCACTGTGTTTTGTCTGTAGCCAGTTTTCCATTGGGTCCTCCCCCAATCACATAGAGTTTCTTCTTGTAGCTGCTGGAAGCAAATGAGCTCACATTGACTGTGAGTGGAGCTGCCTGTGTCACCAATAAAAAACAGCAACAATAACAATAGAGATAAACTTTGAGGATGATTCATTTTGGTTTCACAGTTTATGAATCAGCCCTTATGAATCAGAAACATTTTAAATAAAATGGTTCAGTTGCTTCGTAGAAATTGAGGGGAAATGTGGTTTGTCTGTGCTTAAAAAAAAAAAAAGTTTGTGCCTGAACTTAATTGTCTCCATGCTTTGAAAGAAGGACTTGAAATTTATTAAAGCATCCTCCAGGTGTGAAAGGTGTGCCTTTTACCATTCATTCACCCCAATTTGGCCAAGTTATAAACTCCCACAAAAGACTTCTCAGTTGGCATGCATTTAGTAGAGTCCTGCTGGAGTTCGGCAGATAATTCCCTGAAGTTTGTCTGCTCTGAGTATGTTCCAGGCTAGGCCTGCGAAGGCTCAGCAGGGGTTTCCCTGCCTGCCACAACTCCTCCCAGCACATGGGGTGGCAGACATCAGAACTGGGGCAGACATTCTCTGAGGTATTCTAGAGGCATAGCAAACTCTTTCAGGACTTGGGCAGAGGTAGAGGAGAGGAAAAGGAAATGATGCTGATCACTGGAACACTAGAGATGGGGGAGAAGGCAGGAAGGGGAAGAAGAGTCTCCCTGCCCCCCACTCTGGTGGCAGCTGCTGCTGTAACAGCACAGGCTTGTTGCTGGAGCACAGGCAGTGGCACAGGCTCCCCTGGGGCCCCTCCTGATGCCTTGTTTGCACCCCACCCACCACAAGGCACAGCCATGGCAAAGCCTCTCTGCCCCCCAGATACATGACTGTGCATGGGGCTGCACCTGCCCAACTCCTCTGGTCGGGCCATGCAGGACTGTGTATGCCAAGGCAAAGACTACTCAGGAACAGGCTATAATGGTTCCCCCTTTAAGTTGGATCCTGGGGTTGGGCTTCCACTTACACCCCTCCAGTTATGCTACTCCTGAACTCTCAGTGTACCCTGTTAATGCCCAGACAGTGAAGAGGAGGAAGAGATAGCAGGTACACTGGAGTTCAGGCAGGTGAGGTACCGCAAGGGATGACAAGAGCTGGGGTGCAGGGGAGGGATAATGAGGAAGAAGAAAAGGGGCAAAAGAGCAGCAAAAGAATGGGAGGAGCAAGAGTGGGAGTTGGATATGTGCTCATTAGACATAGACAAGCTAAAGGCACAAGGATCTATATTCACTAGAACACATACTTCTGTGTACCCTGGCATTGACCCCAGATTCCTTAGTCTCTACAGGCTTCTGCTATCAACAAATAACTGTATGAAGCTCTCTGGCAAAATGTGTAGCATTCCCCTCTACTAACTAATCTATAGATAACATCAGCCTATGATTGCTACCAGGTGGTGGAGGTTAGTGCTGTAGATCTATAGACCCAAATGATGCTGATGGGCCAAGCTGGAGTCAGCAGGGTTCCATGTAAAGGGTTCTTTGTTCTGGGGCTTTCCCGGCTTACTGTTTAAAAAGATGAGGAACTGCATCCAAAAATGACAGTAACCAGATATTAAAAGATCTCAATGTCAAGGATTCAAAAGTTAGGAAATGTCAGAATTCAGGTGGTCTGTGCAATGTTCATTCAGTTCCCTTGTGTGCAGGTATTAAAATGCAGGCCCTAATTTTTTCTTGCCCCATTTTTCTTGCCCCATTCAATGAAGAACCTGGACCTGCTCTGGGGATGAATCAGGATTGTGTAGTGAAGGTGCCTTTTTTCACTGGAACCCCTGCCTTATGGAAGTTGTGACATGAATGAAGTGGGGAGTTGGAGAAAGAGAAATGTTGGTCCAGTGGCAAGTGCAGTTGCATGCCACCTGGAGAATTGGATTCGAACCCTGCCTTGGCCACAGAATACCTGTGTAATAAATGGGCAAGTTGCTTAAATACTACTTTTCACACGCAGTCACTATTTGCCTTCTCCTTATTTACTGGATGTTTCTCTGAACAAAGTATGGGTTCTATGGAAAAATATAGGTGATCTGATCAAGTAATTAAAGACTGTACCAAATCATGTACCCAAAGGAACCAAATGAAGATTGCGTGGACAACCTTAATTCTAACTTTTCCTCATTTTTCATTTTGCAACCTCAATGTTCTTTCCATATTCATTTTTGGTTGCAGGATTTAATTTGCTTTATATGAAATGCTGATCTATGAACCAGAGGCTACAGACTATATTACCATACAAACCAAGCTTTGGTCATTGCAATTTTCTATACAATTATTTCCTGTGTCCCTTAGTGTGAGTGTTGGAGCTATGGAGGAAAAGCCAGCAAGTTAGTCACACATTAGCTAACAAAGGAGGTAACCTGGATGCTCATGTCTTCCGTGTACCAAGGAGCCACACCTGATTCACTGTGGCTGTTCACAATTGAAAATTTCCCCCTTAAAAACTTCCTGCTCCCCCTTCCCTTCATACACTGGTAGAAATGGTACGACCTGGGCATTCCCTGCTTACCTTAAATTGAAACCATTTTCCTTATATCCTTTAGGGGCAAGCACAAGAGAGAGAGAATAAAGAAGTAAGAGAGTTTGAGAGGAAATGGTGTAAGAATTTGCAGCAACTGCTTTTTTTAAAGGAAGTTTAAAATCTGTCTTGGCCTTTTGAGAATGAGGCCTAAAATACAGACCCACGCTAGAAACCGCCCACATGCACCTGCGCCCACTATTTACAGAGTAGTGTACATTTACATACTGTGAGGGAACTGCATCTGAGGGGACCCCTGGGAGCATGCATCCCCTCAGTCTTCTGCTTCATCATGGGAAAGATAGGGGCTGCTAATACCACAGATTCCACGCTGGCACAAGTTTTGGTACCTACTGTTTCCTCTTCTGTGTCTTTCCCATGGTCCTGAGAGCTTTGGTTTTACTTTTGTCCTGGGAGTTAATGTTGAGTGTTGCTGGTTTAGCTAACTAGTAATAACTAGTTACCCTAAATATTTGTTTGGCATCTTCTACAAACAGATGGGTGGTTTCTGGCACAGTGATGCCTGTTGAGTGTTATGTTACTCTGTGAATAATTTCATTCACTTCAAGGAACTGCTTCTTGAGTAAGATACTATTCAGTAGGAGTAAGGTTGGCAGAAGTGACCATTATTTGTATCCTTCCCTTGAAATGTGAATTTCTAATTTGAATACATGACTAATGGCTTACTGGCGCATATATATGTATATGTGCAACAAACCATTAGTCAGTGAGTGTGTAAACACTCATTCAAACACTAGTACATTTTACTTTCAGGTATGACAAATACCTAACAACAATCTGTTTTAAATTTGTTTCAACAGATTTATATGAATCAGGAGAGTTTGATTGTATCTTACCTCTGACCAACAGTTATGGAAAGGATCATATGTTTCTACACTGTTGATTCTCTGCATGCCATCAAAACCTCCAATCACATAGACCTTGCCACCTAACACAGCCATTTTGTGCCTCCACCGTCCAACATTGAGATATTCAATTTGTATCCATTTATTGATGGAGGAATTATATTTCCAGACATCATGTTGAGTTTCTTTCCCACCTGCAACAAGCATGATGCATATTAGTATTGTAATGACATGTATTAGCTCAAAAGTTCCTATATGTAATATTTTTACTAAGGATTTTTTAAACTAGAAAAAATTAGTTTGCTTTGCTATCACATCTCCAGCACTGCCCGGTTCTTGATTTAGAGGAATCAACCTCTGTATTTACGGCACACTTAGTTAAATTTGTAGCGCTGTACTCAGGAGAGGGCTGAAGAATTCACAAAGGTTATTTTACAAGCCATTTCCTCTTCAATCAACTTTTCATGCTCCAACTATCCTACTGCCTTTCCTTTTGCTTTTGCAGCTTTCATAAAGACAGTGAGGTGCCTGTTCCACTCAGCTTTCTGCAGCAGAAACTCAGGTGTAAGATGCTTTGCTGACAGTAGAATATTGAAAATTGGTGAGTGAACCAACTGTGATGTTAAAAATGCAAAGGGTGTATGACACTGATCCCCCAGCATTTGAGTATCCCTCTAGACTATCTTTCTAGGGGTAGACAACCCATCTCTGTTCTGGGAGAGCTACAGTTACTCAGAGCAGAACTGACCAGCTTTGTGGCAGAAGGCTTGGTGCCCCTGACACTTTAAAAGTAGGCAGGTTGGGGCTGAAGCAGCCTGCAGGAGGGGTCTGGGCTGACTGCAGTCATCTGACCCAAGAGGAGGATATAAGCCCAGGCCCTGAGACAAATCAGCAGTCACATCTTGGAGCCTGCTGAGATAATACACATCAGTAGGATGGCTGCAGCTCTAGAAGGTCAACATACAGAGTAACTGTGACAGGGGGAAGATCACATGGCCAGTTGCAGTGCCAGCCCACCCCTCTGTCTAGGGCAGTCCGCCCTGTCTCACCTGCCATGACTTGTTGTTCAATAATGCAAGATGAAATAAGCAGGAGGCTGCCCTTTTTAACATCCTGATGCCAAGGGGTTTACACATGGCTCCGACCTACCCGTACCGTGTCCCATGCCTTGCAGATAGCATCCAAAATTATTAGTTGCTCCGGCCAGAAACCAGATCAAACTCTGCCCCTTGCTGGCCTCTCACACACTACACATACACTCCACCCCTTCTCACTGGGCCTCATTCACTCTGCCCCTTCTCACAGGGCCTCTTTCATCCTGCTCTTCACTGGGCCTCTCCCAACCTGCCCGGCTCCTCTTGAGCAGCCCCTTTGGGCCATCAGGCTTGCTGACTTCCACTCTGGGCAATCCCCCTACAGCCCTTTAGGTGCCTCCTGCAGCCTACTCTATGGGTGACAGCCCTTGCATGTAACACTAGCCCGACTCTAGTCACTAGCCCCTCACTGGGCATTAGGCTCTTCCTGCTCCCAGACTTCCTGGGGACATTCTCTACCCCCTCATTGGGTCAACTCTATACCGCTTCCTGGGGCCACTCCCTACCCCCTCACTGGGGCTAACTCTATGCCCCCTTTCTGGGGCTTGGGATCTGTAACAGGGGGCCTTCTCAGGGCCAATCTACCAATGTCCTGCCCACCTGTTCTGGGCCAACCGCCCACCACACCTTGATGACATTTAATTAAGTTTCTAATTAAGCAGGAGGCTGCCCATTTGTTACTGTGATGCCAGGGGGCGCTATCTGCGGGTCCATTCCTTCCCTACCCCACAGCCCAAGCCTCGCAGATGGCATCCAGCTATCTATGTCACCGGCCCCACACTGGGCCTCAGAATCTTCCAGTCAGGACGCCTCTAAGATCCCTCCATTCAGGCGGACTACTCCGCCTTCATTCAGGCTGCCTAGCTCCATAAAACTATTTCCCCTCTTGGGCGTAGTCCCCCCGGGACCTTTGACCACACAGGCCCTGGCCTTGTCTCCAAGGCCAGTTAAAACCCCAGGCTCTCAGCTCTGGGCATCCCTTGTGGTGGGCCCCTGGCCCTTTTGACCATTCTGATCCTGGTCCCAGCATTGACCAGTCAAGGGTACTCTACATCTGACCTCTGAGCCTCTAGCCCTACTCTCTCTCTTGGGTCTGCCCTCTGGACCCTACTAGCGGGTGACCCATCCAGTTGTAGGAGCTGGATTTATTAAGGCGCCCCGACCTGCCTTTCACTGGGGTGGTAACTGGCCTGGCATTTCCTGGGGGCTCCCATGCCACTGAGAGCCCCACCAGGCCACCCACTCCCAGCAGGGTGCAGTTTTAGGTCAGGACCAGGACCTGGACCGGGACCAGGCGCCTCCTAGCCATCCCCTACAGCTCCTCCCTTATCTCCAGGATGTTCCAAGCAGCCTTGCAGCCAAATGATGTTACTGCCTGTGCTGCCAGCAGTGAACTGTTCTGTCTATATAGGCGGCCAGGGATCTAAAATGGCCGCCACAATCAAGCACCCAGCTGCTTCGCTGAGTCCTTAAAGTGGCAGGCACCAACAGTGCCCTGCCACAGGATCTTACACCCCCAGGGACTTAGGTGCCTTTCCCTTGGCATGCCTGGCCCCATTGTCTGATCTGTAACCTACTGGGGAGGCAACTGGCCTGGCATTTCTGGGGAACTACCCCACCACAGATAGTCCTGCCAGACCATCCTTCCCCAGCAGGATGCAGTTTTCAGTCATACCCAGGACCAGGAGCCTCCTTCCATCCCCATAGCTCCTGCCCTCACCTCCCAGGTGTTTCTGAGCAGCCATCCAGCCAGCTATTGTTCTGCCGGCTGCCAGCAGTAGACTGCTGGCTCAGCCCTGAGTGCCTGAGCTGAAATGGAGTCTGTTCAGCTCTCTCCTCCAATCACATGTCCCTTACCAGTTCATGTGACTGCTTCATCAGAGCTGGCCTGCACCTACCAGCTGCCCTGCTGTCCCTCATAGCCTTTAAAGTGACAGGCATCAAAGGTGTTCCGTCACTGTAATACCTAAAGCAGTCTGGAGGTTTGGGGGGACCTAAGGGGAGGAAGACTTTCCTAGGGACCCAGGGAGAAGTCCAGGAGCCTAGTGAGAGGCTTAGAGCATGGGACCAGCAATGATCCACAAGCCTAGTGAGAGGCAGAAAGTGTGGGACCAGCAAGGGTCCAGGAGCCTAGTGAGAGGCTAAGTGGAAGAGAACATCAATGAGGATGTCATTTGCAAGGCATGGGTCATGATGTAGAGGAGGAATGGAGCCATGCAATTAGCCTATAAGGCAGTGACCACAGGCACCTGGTGGTCATTTGAGAAAACAATTTGGGAAGCCCTGGGGCAGCCTCCCTCATAAAAGTAATAGACATCAAGGTGTGACAGGAGAGCAACTGAAGGGGCCATTGCCCACAAAGTGAGGGCTACAGGGGCTTCATGGCTGCCCCTGGAGAGGCACCCTGTCAGAAATGTTCCAAGGTATTCACCACAGGCCTGATCCAAAATCCTGATTCCTGGATGTCCCTCAGTGCAGTCTGCAGGAGCTTTGCCAAAGTAAAGAATTCACTGCTGGACCCACTGTTTCTTTAAACCTAACAAGCCTGATTTTGATAATGTTGGGGCCAGTCTTCCACCAGTCTGTGTGTTTTGTCCTTGCTTCTTAGTTAGATCATGGTAAACAAGATCCGAATCCGGCCCAGTAGGCTCATTCCAGACTAGGTCTGCAAGTGACTCTTACTCAAAACTGTCTGCCAGTATTTTAGCAGATATTTCTGCCTGTATCTTATTTTTATACATAACAGAAATATGAACACAACTGGTTAACCATGAAATATATTGCACAGTCCAAGGAGCAAAATGCATCATCTACATTCAGCTAAGTAATTGCTCCACCAGTGAATATATTTGGAAGGAGAAGTCATATTCCAGTGTCTGCCCTCATTTGTATTCTGTACTGCAACCAGATCACTGCAAACTGAAGGAGCTCATCTCTGGGCCAGATAGCAGACTGAATAGGAAGTAATTAGCATGCTAAAAAGAGCTTTCTGAAATGTCTTTTGTCTACGTGTTTTTTCACATGTATGTGTTGAATTTATTTGCACTCAAATAGATGGAGTTTATGAACTGCTGAATACCAGCATTCATATTTAGAAAAGAGCTTAGAAACTGCAGGTGTTCCAGTCACGCACTTTCCCATTTTTGTTAGTGTGTTCTTTCTTGCATGAGAGAAAAGCTCTGTTAGGAATCTAAACAGAACCACACTGTTGAATGCTGTCTATACCACAGGGGAAGGAGGGGGGGGGAGGGGGGACGTGTTTCTTCCCTTTGGGCCATGGTTTGTTTTTATTTGAAGAAAATCAGCAATCACAAATATCACACAAGATAGTGGAATTGCAGTTTGTGTCCTTGTAACTGAATTTGAAGTGTTCCCCTTCTTCCATGTAAAGTGCTCTTCCTAAGCTTTATGGGAGGCAGTGCGCTGATTGTCACTCCTTGTTTAGACTATTAACTTCAGAAAGAAGCTTATGCAAAATACCTTTCCATTGCTAACAAAAAGTGGGCGAGGGCATGCCGTTTTAGCATCATCTAAAGACAAGTTTCGGTTCTCCAGAAATACGCTAAGGAGAGAAACCAACAGATGGGGAAAGAAAGACTAGAAAATAAGATAGAAAAGAAGGGGCTCACAGAAGCCAAGAGAAAAGTTTAACAATTAAGCAAAAATAATAAATTATATCAAAAGCAGTGGAGTGCTCTAGATGAATAAGCATAAATGAGTGCCCTTTCACTTTACCTGGGAAGAAGCACTGACTTTGGCCAGAGCAGCTTTTTGGGAGTGGAAAGTGGATCAAGGAGGTATACAGGTGAAAAATTAAGGGGAATGAGCAACTGAAGGGAGGAGGGAAATATGACACTTAGCTTGAGTGCCTACATGATTTTAGTGAAATTTTCTTTCATAACAGGGCATGTATAAATATGTTTGGAAGCAGAATGGAAGCAGTAAAAGGGAGGGAGGGAAAAAGAAACCAGAAAAGGAGCCAGAGCTGAGGGGGGGAGACAACAGGAAGGGGGTGGGGGGGGTAAGGGCACAGGTGGAGGGATGAAGGTCAGCTATCAGAAGACCTCTCAGCCCAACAAATATGAAGGACTGAGGTGGCACCAATTTGTGAAACATTTTCATCCAGCATGTTGACCTAGACCCTTTCCCTGTTAATGACTTCTAAACAGAGGGAGAACCTCTGAAGAAATGAGACTGTATTTAATAATGGGATGAAAAGGAAATCTCTTTTCCTAAAAACTAGTTGGAAGTGAAGGAGAATTAATCCTTGCCCCAGAACTATGAGATCATAGAGACCAACGTGAAGTAAGCTAATAAAAAGTCACATAGCCTCAAAGGCAGAATGCAATGGAAGACATTTAAACAAAGGCAAATGAACCAGTCATCACTTCTAGACAAAGCATTCACACCTTGTCCACCATTCTGATTCACTCACGGTGGGTTTGGGAATGAAGGCCAATTAGTAACTGCTGAGGGATATCTATCCACGGAGTAGAAACAACCCTGCATCCCATTTTGGGGATGGGGGAGGGGATGAATCCATAGTCCCTTTTCACTCCTTAACCTTTCTACTTAGACTGACCACCAGAGTGTTCACTGTCATCAGTTATGATAGTGGTTTTGAGTTTTTGGACACCTTGTCCCTGGGAAATAGAATGAGATCACCAAACTCATTTTCAATAGGTTATTAAAACAGCTGCCAGATGCTGCCAGTCCAACCAGCACTTGAACTAGTGAGTTTGAAAAAAGGGTTTGATATTGCATTTCCAATCCCATAAGCAATATATAACCACCTTCACTATTCATCTGGGTGTTCTCTAAAACAAGTAGTTATAGAAGTTCAATTGTTCTCCTGGATCCTTCAAAAATCATGTTCACAAGAAACATTCACACTGCTGGCATATGGACGGACCCTTGGTCCTCAGAGTGGCTTTGGCAATTAACTTTGCTTTCAACAAATGATATTTTTTGGAGTCGCATATAATGCTCTGTTGAAGAGCTCCTGAAAATAGGGTCTTCAGTCATACATGAAATAATTATGACTGCTGTTTACAAACTCTTGACTTTGGCTTATTCAAGCAGAATTCTTACTGGGATGTTCAGAGATGTTTTGAAGTAATAACCCCTGCTTTTATGCTGCATTGGAAGTTTTTCTGTAATTATGGTTTCTGACATTGTTCTGTACTAGCACTGGAAGCTTACCCCAATGTCTGCTAATATAAGCACGCGCTTGTTTGAAAATGTACCCTTCTTACTATTTTAGAGGAGGCTCGGCCTATCCTCCATTCATGGCAATGTATGGAAGGAGCCTGCTTCAGAAGCAAATGCTGAACTCCTCCATTGTCTGAATCCATTTACAAAATAGACTAGGGTGTTCTGTGCAAAAGCTGTCACTGTTTGCCCTCCATTATTTATGATAACCCTGTTTCTCTTTTGCCAGTTCCAGTACCATTACCTTGCTCCTTACCTGATATGTAGACTTCATTTTTTAATGTAACACATGCAAACTCCACCCATTTTTTATTCTCATTCTCTGTTTCCTGTTCTGTGATTGGTAATTTTGCCACTTCCAAACGGCTGCGCCTCAAGGGGTCCAGGCAAGTCACTTCTGCTACAAACTTTTCATCTTTTGTGCAACCGCCAATGATCATAAACACCTCAGACTGGAACTCATGCATCCTGGGCTTTGTTCTTTCTGTAATAATCTGAACACAAGTGACACAGAATGAATACCCAGCATGTCACACCTGTGGCTGAAAACAGCATCAGACCCTAAAATGTCATTAGCTGTCACTTGCCTGCAAGTGATTCAGTTCATTGACCAAGTTATACCTGTGGTACATTGGAAACACCTCCTCAAACACAGCGGGTAGCCAGGAACTACCAATGCAATGCACAAATCTAAAATTCTGAGTTACATTTACAGACTGTGAAGATGCCTGGAACAGTGTCTTTTTCTGTAGACAGGAAAATTGTCAATGCCCTCAGAAGATCTTTACAGTGATCAGAGGCATGATTCTCAGTTTATGGGCATTTACAACAAGCTGGATCTTATCTGCAGCAAAAGAGACATCACAGGCCATCTCTCAATAGGTACTTCATGATTCATATTGGAATGAATGCAGTGGCTGTTACAAGGAAAGCTTGTTTATAAGCTGTAGGGATGCATCCTTTACTTCTCTTGAAATTTCTGCCCTCTCAGAGTACTAGATGGGTTTTTTTATTTTTAATATTCATAGTGTTTCTATAAACTGTCATAAACTATCTAAATTAAAAAGATGGGGGTGCATGCAAATGTAAAATTCCCTTCTGTGGGTTTCCCCTGTATTATTTACTGAATTACAAGGAGTTCTCCCAGCATCTATCACAGAGGATCCCAATTTTTTAACCCCTCTACTAGCCTCAAAGTCACCTTAGCCATCATCATTAGACATGACTTTTGGGAGTCCATCAATTTTCTGTCTCTTGAATATTCAGACACATTCTTGTTGAGTGGATGACACTGTTTACAAAGCAACTACGGCACTGCCATCTTCTATTGACTCAGGCATCCAGATGCTAAAATTGAACACTATTCTCTGGTCTCTAGCAAGACAGTGTTAGGCCACTCATGCTAAGTTACAAGCAGGATGGCCTGAATTGCCAGCTATATCTGGAGTCAGGGTCTGCCTGTGTTTTGTGCTGTTCTGTTCAGACTCACCTGCCTGGGGACTGTATCTAATTCCTCCCTGCTGATGACTGGGTTCTTCCATATCTACCCATGGCATACCTCTGACTACCTCCTGCCTTCTTCTCGGGCTAGGAAAAGTGCACACATACACGTAGAGTTGTGCAGTTTTGACCCCTGCTGACCCTCTTTTCTGGGCCAAGAGATGCAACCAAAGCATTAGTTTCCAGGCAGGAAAGGCAAGTCGGCAATTCCACTTCCTCCACAGCCTATAAGAAGTGGACTGAGCCAGGTCTATGCCTGATGCTTTGTATGTTGCAGGGGTTTGGGTTGTAGCCGTGTTGGTCTAAGGACATAGACAGACAAGGTTCCTTGGGTGAATTTGATATCTTTTATTAGACCAACTCAAACGGTTAGAGAATAGTTATTAAGCAAGCTTTCGGGTTCAAAAACCCTTCGTCAGAGCACACACCAACTGCTGAAGCTTCCTGAGCCTGACGAAGGGTTTTTGAACCCGGAAGCTTGCTTAATAAGTATTCTCCAACCATTTGAGTTGGTCTAATAAAAGATATCAAATTCACCCAAGGAACCTTGTCTGCCTATGATGCTTTGTATGGCACTCTGAATAGTTGTTTAAGCACATGGGTATGGTGCAGAACCATGTGCTAATTAATGAATAAGACAAAATCCTCCATTTCACAATAGAGATTCTTCAGTAACTAACAGATGTAGACATTACACCTTCTCATCCTCCCCCTGCTGGGGCGTGGTGCCCGGGTGCCTGGGTTCCCTGGACAGGTCTGAGTCCAGGACAACTGTGTTTCATGTTGCAGGATGGGGCTGGACACCTGGGTTCACTTTGGGAGTGGTGGGGAATGTGGCCTGGATATCTGGGTTCCCAGGAGCTCCAGATCCTGCTGCCCCCCTATCTGAGCCCCAACACGGGGCACTGCCTGGAGCCAGATGCAGAGGTGCACAGGCATTGGGGGGTCTAGACAGCAAATAAAGTGTTTTCTCCCACACACACTTTTTCTCTTTGTGAGACTCCCATTGATATGAATAGGATTGTTATAAGTGGGACTAAATGTAAAATATTGAATTAAATTAATTCTAATTGACCTGATTTGTCCTATCTGATGTAACACATTTCTTACCTTTTGGATTTACAGAAAGCAAGGTTGTGGACACTTTTAAAAGGCAGGCAATGTCTGAGTTGGAGCAACACTTGCCATAATGAACAGTTTTTTATTTTTTAATATATTTTTTAACATAAGCACAGAAATACCATGTGCTGTCAGTACATCAGTGAATTCTCCCATCCTAACAGCAGTGGTTCTCAAGCAAGGTGCTGTTACCACCCCAGCCAGGTGTAACTGTGTCTGCAGAGCCAAATCAGGAAGTAGGTGTGGACTGGAGCACCCACTCTTGCCACTGCCTTTCCCAGTCTGGTCCCATATGCTCCTCCCAGAAACAGAGGAAGCAGGACAGTTCCATCTACCTCCTTGCCTGTTTCCAGGACACACCTTTGAAGTCAGACTAGGAAAATCTGTGGCAAAAGCAGGCACTTGCTGACCTGGCTTTGCAGATGCAGTTCCACCTGGCTTTAGCAGCAGCGGCAATGGCAGTGCCCATGCCAGGTCACCCCTAAAAGGGTTTTGTGGCATCCTGGTTGGGAGCCACCACCATAGGGTGCCTGTACATGTGCAGGTGCTGCTCTGATGTACTGTAATTACAGCTCATCAAAGCAGACTCAATTGATCGAGTCTGCTGGAGCATGCTAATTAGCACGCTCCAGCAGCCTCCACATTTCAGGTATTCAGCATCCTCCCTGGAGCACATGTAAAGATGCCTTTAGAAACTAGCTGATTCAGAGAGGCATGAGCTTTTGTAAGCAGCAATCTACTTTGTCAGATCTGATGAAGATCAGACACAAATCTGATGAAGTAGTCTGTTGTCTACACAAGCTCATGCCTCTTTAGTTAGTTTCTAACTGGAACCAGTTAGTCTCTGGGTGCATATATATATACTAAGTTGACATAAAATAAGGCAATTTAACTAAGTCAACTTAAATTAAGCCACATTGGAGCATACACACATACATCTTCTTGACATGGGGGCATCCATCTTGTGGCTAAGTCTAGTTAACTAATGCAACTCAAGATAATACACCTCAGAGGTATTTGTTTCTACCACCAAAAGACACGGGAGCATCACTCAGAATCATGCTTTATCAGCATTGGTTCCACACCGTCCCTCCAATTTCTTAAGCATCCTGTTTACTCACCTCATTGCCTGACAGATGGTACATCCTTGCTTCTTGAAGCAGAGGGAAGACATCAGGAGACTGCCTGATAAGTTGATCAGCTTCAACAGTCTCTACAAAATACCAGGGATCCAAAAGCGGTAGCCGCACATGCTCAAGAACAAAGGGCAGAAGAGGGAACCTTTCAGACTCTTTGTAACGAATCCAGTTCATCACTGTCTCAAATACCTGTGCCTCCTCGGTGACGTAGAGGTCATCACTCTTTAGTGTGTTGTAGAGAACATCAGCTGGGAGCTCCAGAAACTCTTCATAGTTTAGTACTTGAGTGAAGTTCTGGATAATGTAGTTCTGGACATGCATCTTCAGGCTATCTAGAGAATGGGCATCAGCCAACCTCAGAATCCCAACACAGTTTTCCGGTTGGAGGGCTTCAGTGAGAAAACTGGCACATGCATCTACCATCCGCAGAAACTGCAGACACAAGGAGCTTGTAAGGTATTGTCCATTTATTATAGGTTTGTATTGTAGGGGCACTTAGCCCCTCTTATGGGACAGGATCCCATTGTGCTAAGCCCTGTAAAAATGTGGGACACAAATGTTCCCTGCCACATACAGCTTACAATCTAAGAGACAACAGGTGGAAATAGACAGTAGGGGAACACAAGAAAAAAATGGGGCAGCACTAGTCAGCGTAACAGGGAGTTGTCATAGCACACCAGCTACTAAAGCACTTTAGGTATCATGGCAAAGAAGAGTTCTAAGGAGGGATTTGATAGAGAAATGCTGTGGTGTTTGGTGTTTGACCACCTCCTGGTCATGAGCAGATTCTGTTCTCATAGCACTTCCCTGAGGTAAGGAAATAACCAGTTTTATAGATGAGGAGCATACAGTTGACTTGCCTAATGTTGCATGAGGAGTCTGTGGGCTAATAAGCTAAGCATTAAACCTGGGTTTCCTTAGCCTTAGTCTAAGCTTTATCTATCACACTATTCTTCTTGCATGTTATTTATTTGGGAAGTAACTTGGTGCTGTGCAAATACATAACTCGTGGCCCCTGCTTCAAGAAGCTTGCAATCTAAATCAGGCAAAAACAATATAGGCCAGACCTACAAAGTACAAAAGCTGGTGGTCATCGAGACCTGATATCAAGAAGTACTGAGCACTTGCTATGCCAGTTAATGTCAGTGGGAGCTGCTGATACCCATCACCTCTAATATCCAGACTGTTGGTACTTGAAGGGCCTTACAGCAGACAGTGAGTTTTAATGAAGGGTCTGTATGAAGGGGAGGCAACCAGCTGGTACACACGGAGAAGGAAAGAATTCCAAGCCTCTGCAGTGGTACATGAAAGAATAAAATGAATTATCTGAGTTTGGAAAGAGAACAGATGGAGTCCTGTGCTGTTCCAGGCCTGACATCTGTGTGCTGGTTTGGTGACAAGACCATCAAATTTAGTTTTCCCTTCTGACAAGAGCCAGATCTGAGCTCTAGAGGAGAAAACTTAATTCAGAGAGCAATTGCCCTTTATTCAACAGTGTTTTAACCAGCCTATAAAAACATGAGCATCCTTTAACTAACATGACCTGAATGAAAAACAATTTTGACATTTTTAGAAGCCTATTCCTCTGCTTTGATGTGTAAAAAGGGCCTTTTCTGGGAGGGAAAGCAGATGGGGCCCAAGATCAGTGCTATCAAATGTTGCTCAGTCGTCCTCCTCCCACAGCCCCTCTCTCTCTGCATGTCCCTGCCTGTCTAATAATCAGCAACAGCATCATCACCACAGAGATAAGCCCTCCCTACTTCTGAGTCCCTCCCCAAGAGCTGCAGAGTGCTTAGAAACTAAAAGTTTCTGTTGTCCCAGGCTCTTGTTCTCTTTCCCGTCTGCTTCAGGCTGAGGAAGAAAAGAGCTGGTCTCCCTGGCCTGACAAACGTTCATTACCTCCTGGCATGCAGGGGATAAAGGGCCCCCCTCTGTCTTTCCCCCCTCCCCTCCCCAAATTTCCATTTCTCTGTAGGCAGGAGCAAAGGTCTGGGAAGCAAAGAAGAGGGTTCTTCCCATAGCAGTCTTCCCTAGCCCCTACACTCGAAAATCGTTTTAGCTCTACTGCTTTGCTTCTGGTAGAAACACCCACTAAGTTTATGTGACAGACTTTCCAACATTGCTGCCAACAGTACATCTCCACCTGTGGGAGCTACAACGGAAGAGTTAGCATAGACAAAGCTCACACAGCTTCAGACCTTTCTACCTCTACGTCTTCTAGCCTGCCAGGTGAGAGCAGAATTAAGTCAGGTGTACAGCAGGTGGCTGCTAACTTTCCAGTGTTACACCTGGTGGGGAAATTCGTAGCATGGAAGAAGAAGTTTGTGAATCCCTGAGCTCAGAGTCTGAGAATTTCATTCTCAGCATAGAGCCCGAGCTTGTTGTTATCATACTGGTGGATGGGTCAGGAGGCAAGACTGGCCATTGGCAATAAAAATTCTCCAATCCACTTTGAAAACATGTATTAGATTAAACAAACCATATAACATGATTTCCAAGTTGACAGTACCCTTTAAAGGAAAGGAAACAATTCTGGAAATAAAGCAATACAACTACTGATGGGATTCTTAGCTTTTGTTCATCACCATTATATTTGAGCTAATCCAGCCAATCCAGCTAATCTCCAAGGGCTTTAAAATCTATGGGTATTTTGCCACTGCCTACAGCATGAGAAAGATAGCTGCTAAGGGCACGTCCATATGAGCATAGACATCCAGTCTGTGGTGCCACACACTACACATGCCGCATATGCAGGCGTTCCCTGTACTGCTACTTTGCAGGGAGCCTGGCTGACCGGGGCCTGGCTGACCAGAGCCACACTGGTGACTGGCTAGGCTCCGAGTAGCCAGATCACTGCCGCTGCTGCTGCAAGAGGCCCCCAGCATCCCAGGTAAGGTTGCTGGGCCCCAGCACAGGTGCTGGCCCCAGCCTCCCCCACCCCACCCAAGACAATTTTCCCCCCACCAACCCCACGTGCAGGGGCATGTGCAGTGGCAAAAAGCAACAACATAAATTTGTGCTGCCGCTATTTTTGCTCCAGCAACTGCACACCCCCTATATGTGGGGATGCAGTCAGTGTTTATCTCAGCAAATGGGCAACCCTTTATGAGCAAAACTGATTGCTGGTGACATCTCATATCTTACTTTTCCTTGTCTTGGTGATTTAAAATGAAAGTAAGATAAAGGTGTTTCAGCTCATATCCTGTTAGGTACAAAATAAAATTCACTAAACTTAATAAAAAGAGACACTCTGCAGTAGTGGGGGAAGCATCCTTAATTTTTTCTGTCCATCATTAACAAAATGGCCATGTTAACGTATTTGGTCACCAAAATGAACATTGCATAACTGTAATTATAGGGGAAAGAGAGAAGTGAAACACAGAAAAGCCATTTTTAAATGCTGTCTTATTTAGAGCTGTTTCAGTAATTAGAGTATAGTCTTCTGGTCAAATCCGTGTCCTGTTGACACTTTTAGACTGTTTACCAAAGTTGAAATGCAACAGGCACTGGTTACACGCTACCTAGTTCCTGTTTTACATTTACATGTGGTCAAGACTTTAGAGAAATGCAACTGACTGATGAACAAGGGTGCACTAAAAATCAAAACACTATGGTGGTTGCTACTGCTGTCATCCCATCAGTGTCAGAAACATGCAATAGTTCCCTTCTAGATTTCTGTAGCTTCCATTCTTCCTTTCCCGTCCTAGTGCTGTTGTATTTCTAGTTTGAGCTCCCAGTTTCTGTTAATACTAGTACTTTGCACTTACAATAAAAACCTTTCCTCTGAGGATCTGAAAAGCACTTTGTAACTACTCCTTTCCTCTATGACATGAGGCAGTATTATCCTCCTTTTGGGGATGGGGATAATGGGGCACAAAGATGATGAGTACATTTACAAAGATTGCTCACCAAATCACTCAGAGCTGGGATAAAACTCAGGACTGATGATATTCCCTCCTTTGGTCTAGCCACTATACTCTGCTTATATATAATCGATTATATACAGTATCCATATACAAATTGGCTCTACCTTTTTAGTAGAAAAGGTGTCCAAGTGAATGAGAAGAACATAAGGGCACTATTAATTATGCTTCAGTTATATTTATTGACATAACACTGCAGAAATATGTGGTCTTTCTGCAAGAAGCAAATCTCACACCAGGGACAGGCTTAAGTATAAAAGTTCAAAATTATATTAAGTGGGAATTTCTCCTTTTCATAGTTCCATATCCCCATGCTTTTTCCTCTCCCTGTTGCTTCAAATCCCACTGTCTGGATTCCCCAGTTTCATTAGAGATTTAATTTTTAAAAGAATCCAACTAAACATCAGTACCACCTTCTTGAGGATGCTTCAGTTAATCTTGCTGTGCCTGAAGATTAAGTGGACACAAGAGATAACAAGTATCCTCAGCCTCCTGGGTTCCTCCAGCTGTGCACTGATTACCTTGGGTACATTTTCAGTCTGTGGTGAGAAACTCACTTCATTCCACCCCAAGCATTGTGTTCCTTGAGAATGATTTCCTTAGTAATTAGGCCCTTCTCATCCTAATGCTCCTTATAGCACAGAATCTTAAGGCAGAAATTCTTTGCCTGCCTGGTTCAGTCTTCACTTGGCCTTACCAATCAATAACATTTTAAGTTTTTGTTTGTTTCTGCTTTATCCCAGGGTGCCTAGCAGAGTAGCGCCAGCAGCACAGCCTTTCCTGGCCAGAGCCCATATAAAAGGAGGGCCAACTGGCTGAAGATTTCCTAATTGCTTTGCTTATGCAGAACATGCTAGACCAGACCTTGCACCCTGTCCTAAACCAGCCTTCCATTCTGGCTATGGACAAAGCATATCCAGTCTCAGGAGGAATGGCTGATTCCCAGGCTAATCCTCTAATCATGGCTGAGGAAATAAAGCACAGCCAGCGGCCCTTTATTGTGCTAGTTTTTGGGTGAGGCTATAGCTATAGGGGCCATTAGCAGTAGCAAATACATAGGATACACCCTACACACAGCAGCCCCAGAACGGAGTGTATTGGACAAACCCCAGGCTTTGGCCCCCTCAGTTTAAACTGAAAATATGTATATTTGTGTACTAGCTCTTGTTTATCCAGAACTATCCATCTGTCATGATGGTTACAAGAGAACTAGTATCAGCCTAGAATATTGCTTTGTTGTGGTGAGTAACCATTTCCAAACAAACATGGCTACTTAGTGCTAGGATGTAATCACTGTTGCCATCCGACTGGGACTATAAAAAAGTAGGCGTGTATACCCTAGAATCTAGGGTTTAATGCCCTAATAATAGGTGCATAGGGATAACTACAGCAAATTATATTAGAAAAGGTTTTCAGGAGAAGTAACTATCTTCACATTACCCCTTATTCAAACGCTGGTTTATGCAGAACAATCCTGCTGTGATTAGAGCATTCAGAGAAAAGAAGACCTGGCACCTCAGTATATTGGATGCTTTATCAGGTGGTTCCGGTATCCCAGCCATGGAGCTTCTAGTCACAGCTGGCACTAGACTATCTATTAGGACTGTGTGAAATTTTGCTGGCCGTTTCATTTTGACACTGTTTCGACTCATTTTGAGGTCAAAACAGCAAAATCAAAACGAAACAAAGGGCTTTGAAACAGCCTCAAAACAAAACTAGGCTTGTCGAAACATTTCAAAAGTCAAAACATTTCAACCATAGTAGAAATGGCGATGGGACGTCAGTCCAGCTGGGCTGAGTTTCCATTCCCAGCTGGATAGGGCTGGGGAAAGGAAATCAGCCCAGCTGGGCTGAGTTCCCCTCCCCAGCACCACCATCAGGCTGGGGACGGGAAGTTAGTCCAACTGGGCTGAGTTCACATCCCCGGCGTAAGATCGGGCCCCAGCTGATTTAGCGAAATGTTAAAACAGAGTTGAAACAGCCTCACTGTTTCAATGAAGCAAAACAGAACAGGTGTTTCAAATCAAAATGAAATTTGATAGAAAACGCTGTTCCGTCAAAACCTTGAAACTCAAGGCAAAACAGAATGGTGCCATTTCACACAGCCCTACTATCTATAACCTCAGTGAGAATACTGTTTTCTTTGCATCTACACAGCAGCTTGCTTCCCTGTTAGCTCTTTCCTACCTCTTAGCTATTCTAATGGAAGTAGATAAGACACTTAATCTAAGCCATGCTAATAAAGAGGTGTGATGCATATTGCTTACAATTAAAAGCCAGCAGAAGCCCTAAGGCAAGTTTTCTGCTACAGCATAAAGATGCAGCTAAGACACTGGAAGCAGTAACAAGTCATTGTACATAGAAAAAGGGTGTGGCAGATTTCAAAGGAAAGAGATTAATAAAATGACACCAAAAAAAGAGAAAAGAATAAATTTAGAAAACGTGGAATGTTGTGCACTGTGGCATGTTAACTGCAAATGTGAGAATAACTGGATTTTCTGTTCAAAATCCAGAAACTGAAATAAAAAGCCATTTACTTCAAGTCAATTCAAAATAGACATTTCTTAAAATTTTCATCGTCATCAAAACCACAAAAAAATTGTTTGGATTAAAGGAAAAATTTGGTTTCAGATTCACACATTTTAAAGCTATAAAAGTTTTAAAGTAAATTGAAGGATATTTCTAACCCAAATGTTGCTTTATTTGGAAAACATGAAATACTTCACCTTGAAAATGTTGAAAGGAAGCATTTGTACTTTTTCAAATGTTTTTGCTTGTTTTTCAGCAATGACCACGTTCTCTGCCAGTGCTCCCTGTTTTCAAAATGGGAGGGGGAAAAGGAAGCAGAAGGAGGTCATTCTTGGAGCTCCACAGCTACTGCTGAAGGGTGGCATGGGTGAATTGGAGCCCCCCCTCCTGCCCCAACCTCAAGGGGGCTGCAATACACCTGCCCCACCCTCCAGGGAGGGGTTGAAAAACCCTCAAACTGAACTCCCTCTGCTCCCTTTTCTCCCTCCCATTCTGAAAACAGTGACAGGCTGGGAGCTCCACAGACATAAGTTACAAAAGACACTACATTTTGTAACATCTTTATCTGATACCTCATGCAATGAGTGGTCAGATTTTCACCCAGTCGGCCATTTTTTAACTGTTTGCAGCTGTGCACTTGTGTTTAGTCACTGCTTTTTGTGGTCAGATCAAAAATTGTCACTTCTGTCTGCACCCAGAATTTCTTAAAGATTGACACCAATAGTTAGTACTTCGCCTTAAACATTTCTGTTTTTCTTAAAGGCCTCTGCTTTTCTTAAAGGCCAACTCCTGAATTCAGCTGACAACATCAGAATCTCCAATTTTATTAAATAACTTTCAATGCCCCCGCCTAGTGTCAAAGAAACTCCTGAAAAGTGACTCCAAGGAAACAAACATCAGGAGAAAAAGAAATAGTACATAAAATTTGCCATGTTAAAAACATGGGGTTTTTTTATTTAATCTGTTTGCCATATTGGAATGCTGAAAATGTTAATAAATTGTTCCACTCAGGCCTTGGAGTATGGGAGAGAGTGGATAGGATAGAGACCTTTTATCACAATTAAGTTAACTTTTGTGTATGATAGTCATTTCAGGGAGCCCTTCATGACTAGCGCCTGCCTCCAGAGTAATTATCAACTCCCAGTATCCCAAAGGGCAGTAGGTTAATATAATCCTCTAAGTTTTACATTTGTTTGATTCATAGGTTTTATGCTGGAAGGAACTGTTATGATAGTCTGAGCTGACTCTTTGCATAACATGGGCCTTGTATACTTTCCTCTGAATCAGGATCCCACTAAGAGTGTATTACCACAGCCTTTCAATCAGCACATTCATATTCTTTGGGACAGAGATTACCTTTTTTCTCAGTATTAACACAATGCAGCTATTATTTGTGCCACTATAAAAATAATATAAAGCAAGAGATCTTTGGGAAGATGACAGATCAAAGAGGTAAGCAGGGCATTGACCAATGTGCTGAACTATAGTGTCCTGTAAATGTGCTTACATTATCCGTATGTTGAAAGTACATTTGCACTCACCTGGAAAAGGCTGGCCGCTTCCAAGACTTTCTGTACATTTTGCTTTGTGATCAACACCTTGCTGGTGTAAGTATAGTCCAAGAGTATTTGCATGGTCTCTGCATCAACTCCTTTAATTATGATTTTTTCTTCATACTTCTCTTTTAAATCATTGCAAAACATGGCTCTGAAAGAAGAATCATTCAGTTGTTGCTATGGCCCAGGAAGCACTAGGCATTCTGAACAACTTAATTATGCAGATGTAACCTTGTGGCTAGGAACAGATGTTGCATTTGTGCTGGGACAAGTTGTACTTGTGTTTGTCCTGGAACAAAAAAGTCCAGAGATTGGCATGTACACACATTGCTCTTCCAATCAGGGGTTAGTTAGCAGCTAAATGCACTGCCACTTTTCTGCCATTGTTTCCTGGGACAACCATTCAGGCATGCTTTGTGATGTCCTGGGACAAACTGTTAGCACTTTATCACAGACCCCTTCTTAGGGTTTGTCCTGGGACAGTGTACATGAACATCTGAACAATTGCACTTTACCCCAGAATAAAATTATTTCACTCAGGACAAATGCAATGTCTGTCTGTAGCCTGTGAGTATCATTATGTCATCTCAGTGCAGAATCCATTCTCTTGCTTTGTCTTTTACACAATTAACACTGTAGCAAAGTTTCAAAGAACAATCTTTGTCAGTTGCTTTCATATTTTTTAATGTTGAATCTGACAAAGCAAATTTACATTTGTTAGTGCAAGGAGCCCACTTCAAGGAGCACCTGATGAAGTGGGAGTCAGCAAGTTGGAGATATGCTATATATTAGGGGTGTGCAAAGCGGGCCTTATTTGATTCAGATTCAGCCTGAATCAGGGACAGTGATTCAGTTCATTGATTCGGATCACTGTCCCTGATTTGATTTGGCTGAATCCGAAACTGAAGATTCGATGCTGATTCAGACATAGCTTTAAAAGTTTTATCTACATACCTTGAGGTAGCAGGCATGGCTCGTGATCACTGCGATGCTGGGGTGCATGGAGTGTCCCACAGGAGTGCAGGGGGGTCCTCCATGTGCTTGGCGGTGAACCTTGAAGTGGACTGGAAGTTCTTCTGGTCCACTTCCAGGTCTGCTGGGGAGCATGCTGGGGGTCCCCACTGTGCCTCCCCGGCTTGGCAATTGGCTGCAGGGGGACCCCGGGTGCCTCCCCAGACCTAGAAGGCACCAGTCGCTGAGCCAGGGGAGCGTTGGGGGGGGGGGGG